GTTGTTGAGTGATGTTCACACACAGTTTTGCTGTACACATACACATAGTGATTTTTTTTTTCTTCTAAAGAAATACAGAAGAAGGCAAAACACATACATAGCTGTTGGTACTCGTAGACATTAATCCTGGTAAACACATCAGTTCAAAGGGGTTGTGGTTTGACATGGCTTTAGTTTAAAGGGAAAAAAAATGATGCAAAGATCTTTTTCATTTCAAAACAAAACAAAAAAAAACATCTAAACAAAAAAAAAATGCACTTTTAATTTCTCTCGATTTCAATAGACATCCCTACATAAAAAAAATTTTAAATTAAGAGCAAAAACAAAAGATTAATATTTTCTCATGAAAGTATCTTAAACCAATGTTTCAGTCTTTAATCACATCCAAACGCCTATAGGCACATTTCTAAAACAGGAAGCATTTTTTTCAGATCAGGATCGTTTTCTTGTAACACTATTACACTTCTGTATTTCTACGGCATTTAGGGTGTAGAAAATAAATTACTCAGGGTAGAAATTTGCCCCAGAAAAAGGGCCCGGTAGGTACATGTACAACATTTTTTTATTTACCAGGATTATTTGGATAAAAAGCTGAGGATGCAAAGTCCAAAGCATGTCTAGTTGGTTATTTTTAATTATTTAAATTCAGGATTACTATTACTAGAGTCAATTCTTACTATTAGCCTTACAGGAGTATGTCTTATTTAACAGTCGACTCTGGGAGAGAACATAAACATTCTTTAGTTTTTTTTAGGGATTCACACCATCATCTGAGCCCTATGGATCTTCCACAGATGATGAATCAACAGATGCTCCCGCCTGTCTCCTCCTTCAGAAAACATCTCTCATGGTTGCAACCATCTTCTGACTTTGAAGCGATTTGAAAAGCAAGGGAAAGTGGAGGTCACATCAAAAACATCCTTTTGTTGGAGTTTTTATGGAGTTTGTGATAATTTAATAGCCTATGGAGCTGTAGTTAGAGGGAAAATAAAACATTGGTTATAGTTTTAGGGTAGAAAATCAAAGTTTTAAAGTCCATGATGTAAGCATCGCTCCTGCTGTCAGCATCTGTGAGAGACCTTGGCTGAATAAGCTGAAGAGAAGGTGTTACTGCTCAGCATCTGCTGATGTAATGGCTCAATTCTATACTCAGGCAGTTTTTTTTCTTCTTTTTTTTGTGATTGCTCTGAGTAAATATAAGTTCCAGGGAGAAAAAAGAAGCCTTCTCCTTGTCAAAAATGTTCCTAAATTGTAGGTTATTTATTTGTAAGAGAAAACACACAAAGATAAAAATGTTATTGCAACAAAACTGCCAGTTAACAGCTTAGTGTAACATTGGATGAAACCAATGGGCATTGCATGAGTGCGACTAACAGCCTTTTTTGTTTTCCTTAATAAAATCGTAGGAAAGCGGCTGTTCCACCCATTGCAGTTCCGAATTCTCCAGAGAGGTGCACGACTTTGCACGAGTGAATAAAGTGAAGGTGATTGGTTGATTATCAAGGGGGCGGGGCAGGATTGTTGTGGTGGAAGGTTCGCAAGCAAGTTCGGTTGTGACCGGTTTGTTGGGAGCATCTTGCTAACCAGTAAGTAACTTAGTGCTAGTTGGTCACAATGGGAAATTCCATTGTGACCAACTAGCACTAAATTGGTGACTTAGAAACGACACTGTCAAGGAACGCTATGGACAGCGGAAACATGCAAGAGGAGGCGAGTTTTGTGTCGGAGGTCATGGATGAGTCTCTTCCGTCATATATTTTTTATTTAGAGGAGGAAAGCGGGGATGAAGATGTTGTGGAAGAGGACGCCAGCGCGGCAGAAGCTTGGTTTGGTGTAGAAGGCTTACAGCCGTACATCTTTGAGCCCTTGCCTCTCAACACTGCCAGTTCTGTTAGCTCTACACCTGCCGAAGACACAGACGTCCATCCCCGTGAACACTGGGACGGAACTCAATGGGAAAGGAAATGATTCTTATTTCTTATTTCAACCGTTACGTATATTTGCTGCGATATATGTATCAAGATGCTATGACCAACAGAAATTGATTGACAGATAAACGTTAATGTATGATTGGCCGACTTTAGGCATACAAGCTGACGTATAACTAACTGGCATGCATAAAATAACGGGGAAAAAAACAGATTTTAAGTCAGGATTTTTTTTTTATAGAAATTTTCTAACTTTTGGGACAATATCGTTACATTTATATACGTGTTTAAGCCAGAATGATTTGCCATTTAAATATGACTTCCCTATGACTTTAATATATGGACCATATATTCACATCTTCCATTCCAGTACTGCTGCAAAGCCCACTTTGTCGCACTGATGAAACCAAGTAAAATCTTTGCATATCACCATTACCAGTCATTCTGCCATTGCTTTGATGAGGAGGGCTTAGATATAGTACCTTCATTTACTCATTTTATGGAAAGAGATTCATCAAAAAGCAGAAAAACTTTCCTCATCTGACTGTATGCATCCAGAGGTGAAGTCTGTACCGTCTGGAAGGCTTGGAAAATTGGGCGCTGAATGCAATTTGTGTTGTTAAGTGGACATTGAGAGGAGTGTTTGAGTCTTATCCTACTACACTTCAACTTTTCTGAATGAATGTGACAGATTTGGATATTATTTAGGAGTTATTAAAAAGAAGAGAGCAGACACCTGGAATATTCTGGGTGTGTTGTTATAGATCAAAAGATTTTAATGGATATCCCCCCAAAAAAAAGTTAATAGTTTTAAACATTTGAAAGTGTAATTTTGATTACTTTTCACATTAATTACCTCATCTTATCTGTGATTATATCTAAATGAGACAAAGTTGAGAGAAATCCAATCTACCCAAATAGATATACAGTAACTCAACTGTAGTTAAAACTAAGGTTAGTTTTTAACAACTTCTTATGGTAGCCAACCTCCAATTTAAAGTAAAATGTTTTGCCTCTTTATTACATACATACATAATCTTTATTTGAAGTCTAGTATATAGTATACTGTTACATATTCCATTTGATCCTGGATGACCAAGAATGTGTTCAAGTTCTGTTTATAATTTTAACTGGTTAAAACATTTTCTATTTAAGCAAACCCAGAAGACTGGATCAAGCCATTTATTTGCAGAAGTTATTCCTCTTAGATGAGCCTGTAGCAACAGCGGACAGTCGCTAGCATTGTGTCAACGTTTCATCAATCCATCCAAGCCATGCATGCATAAAAGTGGAAAGAAATACTTCCCTTTAACAAAGAGAAACTGGACTTAAAGGCGTCTGTAATGACTGAATGGGGGTTTTATGATCAACAATATGACAAACTATGACTAAATGACAGGAAATTAATAGTGTTAAAATAATCTACTGTCACAGATGCTATTAAACGTCTCTCTGCACTGCAAATATCCCATTTCCTACCAAAATACGTTGAGTAGTGCTTCTGACAAGAGACTTATTTTAAACTTAATAACGATACCGACAAAAATAAGTCATAGTAACTTTTTATATAACACAACTCTTTTTGAAGAAACATGATTCTTTCAAGTTACGAGAATTAAACATGGTTATTTACAGTATGAGAATATTTTGAAGTATTTAATGAAAGCAAAAGCAAAAAGTAGGGGACAATGCAGCCCTCATTAGGACAAATATAGAATTGAAAGTGTCACTTCTCTGTTTGGCAAAAGAGTAGATGTGATAACTGTATCTCAGTATCAGCTATTTTAGGAAATTACCTCAGAAACTGGTCTTTCCTGATGACTCCTAAAGGTCAAAGGTGAAAGCTAGATGTCTGATGCTTAAAAGTCAAATCTGACAACAAAAATCCTATTATCTGTTCCTATAAGCTGATAACGGAGGTATGAACGTTTCAGTGGGAAATTTACTGCATATATCTTGGCAAGAGAGAGCTGCAGTTTTTTGGACATAAACCTCAAACATCTGATATGCGTGTCTGCCAGAAAAGACATTTTGATGTCATGAAGCATATTTTCAGTCCCCACAGAAGAAATATTGTGGGAATATAAGAGCCGAACAAGCGGAAATGTGATATACAAAAGTTTGCTAAGGGTAAAACTAAATTGAAACTGACCATTATAAGTCCCTAAAGATATTCAAAAGTCTGTGTGCAAGCTGCACATCTGTCCAGGAGTTTAGAGCCAATAACAACAAAGTAAGAAACATAAAAAAAAACAGCCGCTGTTTATAAGAATAACAAGCATTGTTAGTACGCTCAGTTTTCAGGGAAGCGCTGGAGCTGCATGACACATTTTCTTCAACCTTGATCAGGAGCTTATGTGGCTTTCTGATGTGATGGATGGCTGTATAAAGATACGGAGATCCCATCTGGGTCACGTTTTATCAGGCCAACTTATTCACATTGATGAAATCATGACAGCTTGTTAACCCAAGCGGTGAAAAAAGAACAACCTTAGACCAATATGCGGAGCCAAACGAGGAAGCATAAGAAGGAGAAGAGAACAGATGCATGTCAAGGACTATAGAAAAGGCAGCGCAAATAATGAGAGGCAGGGCAGTAAGGCGAAGATAAGTGGTAAATAGTGATGTAAAGTCGGCAGGAAATGGATGGGGATAATAGGAGCTGACTGGGAGGGAGAAAGAAAGAGAGATGTTGCAGATGGAGGCAAGAAATAGAGGAAAATGTAGGTCGTGGGACAAACACCACAGAACAGACTCATGCAGGAGGACTTTGACATCTGAGTTGTTTGGACAATAGATCACTGCTATCTAACAGGAGGACTGGTGTGTCAATACAGCTTTTTTCCCCCAGATTATTAGTAGTAACTAAAGGTTTTTAATGTTATTAAATAAAAAAAAAACTGTAAGGAGAAACCTATTGGTACTTTTTTTTTTTTTTGCCAAACTCTAATTGCCTTACCTTACCAGTTACTGCAAAACAGGCTAAAACCATTGTTTTAAAATCGAGTCAAAAATAATTAAGGTCTTGATTAAGGCATGATTAGCTTTTTCTTTTGTTTTTTCACAACTTACCAGAACGGGTGTTCTCCGTATGTATTCCCTAAAAAATGTAAGGCTTTGGACATTTTCCAAATCTAGTGAATTCCATGACAGGAAGAGGTGTTGAAAGCTGAAAAGGATAAAAACAGAGGAGTCTGCTTAGTTTATGAGCTTAAAGTCTTGCTCTCTCTCGCTCTCTCGCAGCATAAATTAACTGCAGACATGTTTAAATATGTTGTACACCTTATGTTTACTTAAATTAGGTGATTTTCAGTCTTACTCATTCAATAACAGCATAGAGGATTATCACCAAAGTAAGATGCTGATCAGAAAGGAGAGAACTGTGGGTGTAAAGCTATCAATTTAGGACTAATTAAGCTAGAACTTGTCAGATCCTAGCCACTAGTTGATTTTAATGAAAGACCCGCAATTAACAAGAACAGACCTACTGAAGCAATTTATTGATACAGAAATGCCTTCAACTATTATACTTTTTTTAAGTGAAGCTATAAAGACCAAATGTGTAAAGACCAAATGCAGATCTTTAACACAGATAGCTTAGCACGATGGTTGATGTCTAATGGTTCATCTTAAATGAATGTTTTAGTTTGAAAAGCTAAAATGCATGCTCTCTGATGACTTCTGATTGAAGCAGGTGTTATGGGACAAGTTTTTTAAGGTACAATAAACACATAAATCACCAAAAGTAAAAAGAAAAGAGACTCATGAGGAGAACCTGAATATGTTATGTTAAAATCAGTTGCATGCATATTAAGGATAATTTTTAAACTGATGAAAACTAATTCTGCAGGTCTCCTTCTTTAGGTTTTTTTCCCACCTCCTGCAGACAGGCTTAAGAAAATCAGATTACAGCATACTGTTACTAAACAAGGAGCATTCCTCAACTGGCCTGCTAACAGTCAAGCTTTACAACACGGCCTGATGTGCATTAGTAGCCGTGTTTTTACAGGAGAACATTAAATGGATCAACATCTGGAAGCACCTTGGTAGCCTGCTAGAAGGTAGCAGACAACTGGATTGCCAATTAGGTTTTTTTTGTTTTGTTTTGTTTTTTTTCCATCAGAGGTCAATTTTTCCGTTTTATTATCTTAAAACAAAAAAGTGGCAATTTGAGAGCAAACTTAATGGTTAAAAAAAGTTGAAAAAATAACTATAAAAATATACCTGCCTGGCTAGTAATGTGGGGTTTCATAGTGGAACATGTTGGGGACCAAAAAAAACAAGAACAGTTCTGCTGTGAGATTTCATACATCATTCATTATGCCTTCTACATCAAGACAGTTCCTTTATACACAGATTAAACCTGGGGGGTCATGAAACAAAAACTGCCATCACTTATCGTCTGGTTTATAGAGCTAATAACAATCCGATTGAACTTATTCATAGAGAAATTTAATTTAATTTTAATTTGCAATAATATGAAAATTTTAATAAATCTACTTCATCGGCTGACATTTAAACGTCCTTAATAGCAGAGTAGAAAGCTGAAAAACAGAACTGTATCATTTCAGGGTAGCATTTCCTTTTACATGATGAATCCAACCATCCGAGCTACTTCATTACTTTCAGGGTGATGTCGATTTTGTATATGCTTCATGAGGGCAAGGATGGGGGACATGGTGGACAGCCTGTGAGCTCATCACAGGGTCAAAACAGAGATAAAAAAAAAAAACAACACGGTCCCAGTGACTTTTAAAGAAACCATATAATGTATGCCATTTATGTATTCTTTTAAACATACAGCATTTACCACCCATGAATGGTGTCAGTTCAAGGCTAAGAGACACATGTCTTGTGTCATTCCATCCATCTACTAAGTTTCAACACCTCCTTTAGCCATTTCATTGTCATGATAGGGGCGCCACTACCAATCTATAGTAGTCAACAAATCGGTACACTAGTGGCGGATCATCATTCCATCAAAGGGACACCATACAGACATGAAAGACAAGCAAGCAATAAAGAACAGTACTTAAACCTGAGAGCAATTTTAGCATCTATAATTGCTTCAGTACCTGACATCTTTTTCCACTGTATGAGGAAACTGGATCATGCCCAAAAAAACCTGAGCAGTGTGAGAATGAGCGGTATGACACGGCAACGCCCTAGGGACAGCTTTTAAAAATGTATTATTTTTTGATTTCAAAGGAAGTAGGGTTATCTGTTTAGCAGTAATTAACTCCTGTCCTTCGATATCAAGAGCGTTCGGCATTCTGAAAACAAGCCGCTACACTTAGATCAAGTAGTTGCAACAGCTTGACTCTCCACTTCACTTAAAGTTGAGCTGTACATTCAGAGCAGAAGGTAGAGGGCAACAGGGAAGGCAAATGTTGCATCAAGCAGCCATGCCTGCGGAGCTTTCCCCTGGAGGAGTCGGTCAGCTCCAGCGGGAGTTACCCTCATCAGCCGCAGCTAGAAACCAACAGGTCTATTAGACCAGAAATCAGCAACAGAAGATTGGGAATTACTCGCAGCTGTTCCCTCAGCACTCTGACTTTACGCTGTTTTAAACAACATGGAGTGCCAAGCAAAGACTGGAGCTTGGGTTTATAGAATGGGGATGAGTCAGTTCCAAAGACAAAAATATACACATGAAGTGAAAGACAAGTGCTGGCTCACTTGCATGAATTTGTATGACTCTACGATAAGCAAATCGAATGGAATTTAAAGACAGGGAGATGATTGTAATAAAATAAATACTATGCATGAAAACTGCACTGCTAAAGGAAATCAGATGAAGTGTTGACTGCATAACTGGTTGTAATTATTAGCTGCAGTGTTTTCAAACTGTAGAGTATGAGCAAGACATTGATTTGTCACAGCAGGTCGATGGTGGAAAGTTACAGCAGACTAGGTAGCTAACGCTCCATCCTGAAATTGTTTTTTTTTTTTTTTTTTTTTGACCTGGTAGTTAAACCTTAACAGAAACAGCCACATATGGTGGTTTAACCACAATATTTTTTTTTTTTTTTTTTTTTTGTAAAAATGCATTTTGATGGTTCTGCATATTCTGAGTTGGACTTTTTTTTTCATGACGGATAAAAGAACGATGAGAAATGGCTCTTTAAAAAAAAAAAAAAAGAGGAAAAAGTATAAAATTGGCACAGGCTGATCCTGCTGCTCACTGCTGGCAGAAACCGTTTTCACAAATCCTAACAGGAATGAGGATATCACAAAGATCTATTTGGGACAACGGTGCCTGCAGAGCCGGCAGCCCAGGTACCTAAATCCAAGCTTCCCCAGTGGATCTCGGATTCAAAGTTAGTGGCCGAAAACCAATGTGCTTTTACAGAGAGTCCCATCTGCATATGTACAATGGGCAAACAATACTGACAAAGTGCAAAATTCCTTATTCTAGTGCCAACTACTGATCCTGGCTTCTTCTCTGTGTGTGAATAATCATTATATTTGGCATCCAGAACTGGTTTACATCTCTCAATGTGATTTTTCTTTTTTTTTTGTTTTAGTAAGCTGGGCTTTTGGAGTTTTGTCTTACTATTAATTGGGCGATTCTGTTGAGTTGGTCAAGTATAATCTGATAGGATTAGCGGCTATCTTCTTTAAATAGAGTTGCACAGCCAGGGATTAGATGATCACAGGCGGTCACAACAGATTTTCATCAATACCATGTGAGAATAAAACACAGAGGGTGTCATTATGATGGTAGTCGTACATATGTTACTGGGCATATAATCTGATGATGATAAAAGCAGGAAACTGAATGCAAAGCATTAAGATAAACCACAGATTTGATGTTTGGTAAGTTAAAATTTATAATGTTTGTTTATGTGCTGGAAGAGTGCACTTCCTGTTCGCTCGACATCTGCAACCATGACTTTATAGCAGTATTGGTTTGTCAACAGAGACGTATTGTGTTTAGAAGAGTGACTGCAGGAAGTATAATCCACAGGTAGAAGCAGCCTCTCCGCTAATGACGCCATGGAGCCGTTCCATCATAAACCCATAAACACAACCCCCTCTTAAAGTTGCTTCCAGTCGTTCCTGAATCACTAATCCAGCTAAAGATGATAGTCAAACATATTAGCCATAAAATTTAGGTCAGTAATGTAGAACAAAGGAGGTTTGGAGAGCAAATTTATATAAAATCAAAAGACAACCATAGAAAAATAGATTTGTTCTATTTCTAAGCATCACTTTGGGATTAAGAGATCTGTTCTGTCTCAGTGCATATTTGAGCACCTTGTCTAATATGTTGCAAGAAATAACTTGTGCCAAATGCACCTTATTATACCCTGTTTCTCTGTGTTTTTACCTTTAACTCCCTCAGCTAGCTCATTGCACAGACCATCTTTAATCATTACACACAAAAGTTGAAGTGCAGGTTTATGATTGCATAAACCAAGCCGTCTACCGGGCTTACGGAGTCAGGGTTATAATGGTGACGGGTTGACTTTAACCCCCTTCCAACTGGGTGACTGCCACTAAATAAAGTATTTTTTAAAGGGACTTTCTTCACTCTTTTGGAATAATTATAGATAATAAACTATTTGTTTGTTGTTGTTGTTTTTTGTTTTAAGAATAGACTAGAATAGAATGTTGCTGCTATTTTTCACATATCCATTACTGTTAAAAACTCCACAGGTGTTAGCTATTGTAAAAACACTGTACAGTACAATACTCTATTTAATTTTTAACATCACAATTTCCCCAATGTGTGAAAATAAAGGGATTTTCTATTCTATTCTCTATTGTAATAGAGATGCAATTTTTTGGCCCTGATACCAATACCTGGCTGTGCAGTATCGCCTGATACTGATACCATCTGTTAGGAATTGTTGTGTGTGTGTATATATGAAGAACTGCTTACTACTTGGCTGTAAAATAATTGCCATCATGGCTTTGTCAAGCTGCTGCCTACCTTTGTGAAGCAGGAAAAATACTAATACAAAGTGAAACCAGTAGAACTTTTTATTGCCTACCAGGAATGGGTGACAATAGTTGAATAAACTTCTGGCTTTCAAAATGGTATCAGTGCCCTATTTGTTGGTACTCGCTGATACGGATACCACCATTTTAGTGCTGGATCGGGGGCCTGATACTGGTATCGGTGTGGGTGCAACACTACTAAACACTAGAAACAATGGTTAGCATCAGTCT